CGCAGGCTTAATCACAGTAACCTACACCTACACTGCAGTGAGTGTGTTGGAATGGTCAGGGAAAAGATTCACTTTTGAACTTGGTGCTATCTTGAGGTAAGAACTTCAATGCGTTTATGGGCCTGCCCTTTGTGTTTGGACCGAATGGTTTGGAGAGGGCTCTTGCAATCCCCTGATTTTGTGAGCGGAAGTCTCCACTATAGTCGAGCTGAAATGGTGAAAAGATGAAACAGAAACAGGAGAGGGCTCTTCACTCCGGGGAACCTGTTCTATCATTCTATTTGATCATGGCTGAACTGTACGTCAGTTCCATTTACTGGCCTTTTCTCCAACTTCCTTCACTGAACAACAACAAATAAAAACTATCAATCGTAACCTTGGGCATTTCAATTGACCCCCGTCTCCACAGTCTTTTTCGGAGAGGGAGTTCTCGATATTCGCTATGTTTTGTACAGTAAAAAGAACCCTCTTCCTGATTAAATTGCTTGTTTCATATTTAAGGATTACTGTCCTGGAGTCATCGTGTTTAACCTCTTAAATCCTTTGATCGTTTAGGACGCTTCCATGAGGTCACCCAGCAACCTCTTAAACTGAAATGAATGCAGTCCATTGCAATCTGTACTTGAGCAGCTTAAGACCTGCTTTCAATATGGTCTGGAAAAAAAAGCATTCTCGGTCGGACGAAAACTTAAGCAGAGAGAACAGAAGCAAACAAAACTGGATTATGCATTCACAAAGAAACATCTCAATCAGAGAAAAAAATCCATTCTCCTCACGTTACACCACAGCATCTAACACACTGCATTTGTTTTATTGAAAAATGAGACGAAGAAGGAATTTACAAAGGCACAGGCTTTGCTCATTGCCCGATCCGAAATCATTGCGCTCACGGGGTTAATAAAAAAAGGCAACAAACAAAAACAAAGACTGAAAGAGTTGCTTGCAATTCAAAATCAGCGAGGATAAGCATGTCCCAAGTATCATAAATTTGATCAAAATTATAAATTGCTTTTAATATTCCTGCTATTTTATAATGCTACAGTTTTCCTATTTATTCCCCAGATAGCATGTTTCAAATCATTTTTATAGAATTTTGCAGATGCTTTGATTAAAATGTGTTTGGATTCTGATGAGACAATTATAAATCTTTCATTACAAGGTCTTGGACTAATTCAAACTGACACGTAAAATAGTGTTGAATCCTCTGGAGGAGCAAGTTTTTAGCCCAAGGCAAGGCGAGACTGCTGTGGGATGAGTCTCTGAGAATCTGAGAGAAGCAGATTGCAGGGATTAGTGGATTAGAGGCGAGGATTAGCGGATTAGAGGCGGTGTTATTGCTGGAGGAAGAGAGCAGCTGTTGGAGATTCTCTCAGGCCTGATCCGGTCACTCAGTCACTGATCTACCTCACCCCGTCACCACTGCTAACACAGCTCGGCTTGCTCAGAAAGTCATAGCAAACCCTTTGCAGGCGCTCCCATTAACAGAGTTACATCTGAAGCGTTCTGCTGAGGCTTTGTTACTTAACATGTGTGCATTCTACCTTCATCGCTTATATCTCCTAGACTTTATTATTGCTTGCTATGCCAGTCTCCCAGTTCTAATTCCTATATGCACCATCCCCGTATGTATGAGAGAGAACGCATAAACATGCGTAATTAATTAAGTGTGTGTTTGTGTATATAAGTGTAGCTATGTGTTTCCCCCTCCCCCCCTTTATTCATTCATAGGATGAGGGCGTCGACAATGGATTCATGGTCGTCATTAGACTCTTAATTCCAGATTTTTATTACATCCAAATTCCACCACCTACAGTGGCAGGATTCGAACCCGTGTCCCCAGAACCTATTATCGCAGTCCAGCGATAATACCACAAGGCCATCACCCCACTTTGTGTAAATATGTGTGGGACTGTGTGTAAGTGTGTATGTGTAGCTGTGTGTGTAAGTGTATATGTGTGTGTGTGTGTGTTTGAGTGCGGGTGTCTGTGCCCCTCATGATTCACAATCTCTCGCTGTGTGTTTCCTTTGGGTGAATTTACGGCCAAGTGATGCGGACCCAGTGGGCTGAGAGAGGTACTTGGTGCTCTTTTCTAAAATAAAACATTCTCAGGATGTGAGCAGGGTTAGAATGGTTTGGCCATTGCTAGGTGTCCTGTGAGGTTGACGGATCCTTCTTCAGAGCCGAAACGTCAGCCTTCCGGCTCCTCTGATGCTGCTTGGTCTGCTGTGTTCATCCAGCTCTACACCTTGTTATCTTAGACTCCAGCATCTGCAGTTCCGGCTATCTCTCAACAAACCAATTGGGTTTTTATCACATGCGTGGCTGCTGTTACTGAGGGAAAGCACACGAAATGATGTTTTTCGGGGACTAGTCTCTTGACATAACCACATCACCAGCTACCCTCTAAGCTCACCACAGCTCCCACAGTAGGCTACTTTGTCCCAGGTGAGATGATAAGTTTTCTGATTTATTATAACACACTGACGCTCCAACCTACTAAATCGTGACAAGTGGCATTTTATTGCTCGCTTGTGTGATTTTCAGATCGAAATATTTTGTTTTGAGTTTTCTTAGAGGAAAAATACTGTCACGGCATTTGGGGCCAGTCGGCCCATCACTTCCGGACTGGGAGGAGATAAAACCATCCACTTTCCTAAAATAAAAGTCATCAAAAGACCAACATTGCTGGAAAATGCACCAATGCGGAAATGGAGTGAGATCAGGGTCAGACTCAGTGTGATTCCTTCCGTTATTGAACAGCAGCTCCCACGTAGATTATCTCCGGTTGGTGATCTCTCCAGCAGCAGAGGAGATCCAGTAATGGGGATCTCCAGGCAGTAATCAGTAGTCTCAGCAGGAAGGGAACCTAGTGTCTCTGATAGTGAGCAGTGTCCTAACCCAGGCAGAGCACCGGATCCTGGGGGAGGCCAAGGTACACTTAGGGGCCAGAAGCCGGGTTAATAATCGATGGTCCACCTCCTCTCCACCCCGTGTGCTCGCTGCAAACCGGCTGTGCAGTGTGGAAGGTGTGTGGGGTCCTCTCCCGGCGCAGTGACTGGGAGTGTGACCCTGGGGTGCATACTCTCTCTGCTGTCAGAACCAAGTTTGGGGATAACAGTGGAACAAGTCCAAACCCTGAAGTAAGCGGAGATGGTGGACATAGGGAGTTTAATGCCTGGACTCTGGGTTCCCATTATACACTGACAGTGTAACTAACTCCTATCCAAAATAAAAATGAGACTCGCAGTACTGAGCAAAGGTGGAACTGACTATCCCTGTATCTTCCTAACACCGCACCCCTCTATCAGACAGCTCTCTACAGACACACACCGAGGTGTCCGCGCCCCCCCCCCCCCCCTAGTGCTGTTGCTGGGTGTTTATGTTGCTAATTTTTACTGTTCCCTTGTCAATGTGACACTGTGAAACCAACAGAAGCACATTATCGCCGTCAGAACGCTCGCATTGCAAATTCTGCAGCGTCTCCCTCTCTCTCTCTCTCTCTCTCTCTCTCACACACACACACAAACACAGAACCTGAGGGATTTAAGATGGAGATTTTGGGGCAGATAGAAAACCCCGAACTATTCCAATATTTTCACTACTGCGTAACCTCCACAATTCTCAGCTGAACGCCAGATTCACACCAAGAATTCACAACTCTGGTTTTTATTCGATTCAGAGACCGGCACTCTCTGTGTGTTTCTTGCCCACTTTAAACTGGTGAAGAGTGACTGGTAATCCTACTCCAGGCTACGTCTCCTGTCCCCTTGTCCCTTCACACTTTCAATTCTGCTCTTTGAAGGGAACAGCCGAGCATGTGAAACACAAACATACACACTACTTTTGCTGTGAAAACATCATTTTCTTGCCACAGATCTAACTAACTGAATTGCTGGCGTTTTGAAGAGCGCAGAGAAGCCGCAAGCTCTGGTGGATTTGAGTCTGACAGAGAGGTGCCTCCACTCTCCCCCCAGCACAGTACCATCCAGTCACCAGTCACTGTCTCTGTGTGGCTCTCAGTAACACTCAGCAATCCTCACTCTCTCTCTCTCGCTGCGCGCAGTTTCTCCAGTGTCCAGCTCCAGCCTGAAGAGGGAAACTTTCCCTGGGAGGAGCGAACTGTCACTCTGTGCATTGAGTCATTCCCAAAGCCTGGAGCTCACTCTTGCTCCCGGGAAGTCTTTCCCAAACCTGGGAGCTCATTCTAAGACCCCGCGTCGTGATTCGGAATAGTCAGCAGGCCCTGGTGGGTTCACTAGGTGGGTAATACACCCTACTGCTGGGCAGACGCATGGTAATATACCCTAGTGGGCATACTGAGAGGGTAATATACCCTACTGCTGGGCAGACGCATGGTAATATACCCTAGTGGGCATA